AACAGTGGTCCACACCCCCCACGGCCTGCTCCTGGCTGGGCTCCTGTCCAGGCAGTCCCCCACATCCGGCACATGGTCCCCCCTTCTCTTTCTGGAACCAAGCTGCATTTCTGAAGTTACATAATCAAATGGTTACCATTTATTGAGCTTTTGTGACGTATCAGGCACGGTTCTGAGCCCTTTGCCAGTGTTATTTCGTATAATCCCAGCAACGCCAAGAGTAGATATTATCATGGTTCTTCTTTATAACTGTGGAAACGGAGGTACTGAGAGGTTAAGTAACCAGCTCAAGGTCACACAGCATTGAGTGGCAGAGCCTGGATTTTAAGCCAGAGCCCAGGTCTGTTCCTCTGAGGGGAGCTCCCTGGGGGCCATCTGCACCTGCTGTGTGAGGCAGGCTGGACCTGGTCTAGGATGTCTTTGCCTACCCAGGTCTGGTCTTTCCCACCCAGAGCCCGACTTGGGGTATGGGCTCAGTGAACTGTTGAAGGACGTTGAAGGACGCAGAAGGCTCCCAGAGCCAGGAGCCAACCAGCACGTCCGATTGCTGGTGGCCCCAGGAGCCCATCTCGTTAGACACAGAACCTCCCTTGCCCCCTCCTGCTCAGCCCCTCCTTGGGTTTTCAGCCCACTCAATTCAGTGACCTGCACCAACTGGGGAGGGGAAAGTTGATGTGAGGCTCCCACCTGCAGAGATCTCAGTCCACGAGAGTCCAGCTCCACTGCTCTGGGCCCCAGGTGAGGAAGCCCGTCCTGGGGAGGGGACACAGTGGGGGGAGCTGCCAGCTCGTGTCCGGTCGGGAAGCGGAGACAGACAGACAGACAGCAGACCCTCCGCCCAGTGACCCTCCGCCAGCCACGCCACTGCCTTGCGCTCCCACCCAGTCACCCTTCCACTAGGGAGGGCCCGTGAGGTCCGGCTCTCACAGTCACCAGTCCTTATCGACAGGAGCTTTGGGGACACCTCAGGACAGCAGTGTCCTGCCGTGGGGCTTGGGGACGTGGAAGGTCCTAACCTCATGGTGGATTCATCCATTTGCTGGATTAATAGTCTAGATGGACCTGGTGGGGGGTGGCCGCAGGCCTGTGAGACGGCTGGAGGAGCTCACTGACCCGCTGGCCCTTGGGGACTAGGTC